CATGTACTAATAAAGAAAAAGTTTGTTTTAGAAACGTGTTCGTGTGATAACTAATGTGAGCTTTAAAGATTGCTAGTAACTGGTTTTGAATTTTAGATATCAAAATTGTCACTGCACCCCATAGAAGATAAACCTCCCGAAGAACTTCCAGTACTAAGTGAAGAAGAGCTTGAGGCTCTCAAGAATCCGGACGTTATCACTAACCAGATAGCTCTGCTGGAAGCCCAGTGTCATGAAATGAAACCCAACCTCGGGGCTATCGCAGAGTACAGGAAGAAGGTAAGGTGGTTACTGTGGTGTGGGGCTCGTCGTTGGATACGCGGTGCCTGGGGGTGCAATGACAGCTTCATGGTTTCCCAGTAATGAATCCATGCAGAGTTCGTGTCGCGGCGTCGGAAGCACGGAGGGAACCTTCAGCTGTGCGTTTTTCTTCGGGTGGCTGCTCAAATGGATCCTCAAAAACACGTTTGTTATCCAGGTGGCAACAGAAAGCACCTTGTTTGTGGGCAGAGCAGGGAAGGTGGCCCTGTTCCTCAGGTCCTTTCTGTTGGAAACTGAAATGGAACCCTCGAGTTTTCCCTTTCTCCGCTGCAGGCTCTGCTGTTGCCAACATATTCCTTTTTCTCCTGAATATTTGCTAGCTCGTGCTTAGCTAAGTGTGACAGTTGTACCCAGGAGCTTCCATACACCTTTTGTACTGGAAACCACAGAAGGCAGGTGAAGACAACTTTCTCCTGTGACAGTGTGTTTGTTTAGAGTCAGCTCGTCTTGACAGTCTAGACAGATGCACAGCAATACCAGGATTTCCTTCTCCTCACAGCACTCACTTCTGTAACATTGGACTATTCAAGAGATTTATTTTTTTTTTTTTTTTTACTTTTAATGCAGGTTTTCCAGTATAGAGAGATCAGCATCACCAAGTATAGACATGAGAGAAAAAAGAGATACTTTGGGTTTGTTCTTTTGTTTCAAGGCTGTTAGCCATTCTGGAAAAAAGGAATTGTCATGTGGTCGGAAAAACGCTTTAAAATCTAAATTAAGGAGACAGTTTCTGTAACTGTCCTTCTGTTTTTTTCCTGCAGGAAGAGCTGTACTTGAAACGTGTGGCAGAACTGGATGACATTACCAATGAGCGAGACAGCTTCAGGCAAGCTTTTGAAGACCTTAGGAAACAAAGACTGAACGAATTTATGGCAGGATTTAATGTAATAACAAATAAACTGAAGGAAAACTACCAGATGCTTACTTTGGGAGGCGATGCTGAACTAGAGCTTGTGGATAGTCTGGATCCCTTCTCTGAGGGCATCATGTTTAGGTTTGTCAAAACACTGTGTTATTGCTGTAATTCTTAATTATTGTATTCCTTTTTCAACCTGCTTTTTAAGAAAATATTCATGTCATGGATCATCAGCTATCCAAGGCAGTCCTCCCTCTTGGCAAACATTGGAAAGATACTGACAGAAGCTACAGCTTCATGGCATTGGGTAATGGAGATTCGTCTCTCCTGGAGAAATCAGTGACTAACAGCAGTTAGGAACCTTTGGCTTTGGTGAAGCAGTTTCTCATTGTTTCTGCATTCCCAAATCATTTCATTCTGCCTGGGGAATGGTGTCAAGTCACATCAGTAACCAGAGGTGGTTGTGTCATAAGTGGGCCTAGGAGTATATTCGTTATGTCAAGAGTAGAAAAAAGATAATTAAATAGCAGTTCCCAAGTGTTAGAGTTGCTACAGGGAGTTGAGTTCATCCATGGCTTTGTGTCTGTGTCTTCCGAGAATTCCCTCCTGTCCCATGACTTGCTTTTCCCCACGACGTGTTTATTCCAATCATGAGCAGAAATAAGTTGCAAACTCCAATTTGTTTCAGCGTTCGGCCTCCGAAGAAAAGTTGGAAGAAGATATTTAACTTGTCAGGAGGAGAGAAGACTCTGAGTTCCCTGGCTCTAGTTTTTGCTCTTCACCACTACAAGCCGACGCCCCTGTACTTTATGGACGAGATCGACGCAGCCCTGGACTTCAAAAACGTGTCAATTGTAGCGTTTTACATATACGTAAGTATTTCATGGTAACGACTATAGTATCATTTTTTTAAGTGTTTACTTCTCTGCTGGAAAAGACAAAGTGGTAACACAGTTATGGCCAGATTTTTACATCCGGAATGCGAATTTTCAAATGGTTAAGTGGGAACTAAGCAGATTTCCAGAAAGGTGCTTAGAATGTTGCTTTCTGCGTATTTCTCCTAAGCTGCTAAGTGTGATGCCTTCCTGAAGTGAGGCAACACGGAGGATTTCCAAGTTTCTTCCCTCCAAATCCCACTGTGTAGTTTCAAGGCTGTGTAAAGAGTGCTAGTTTGCCAAAGGTGCCACGTTTCCACGTATCCTTACTGCTACTGCTTCCCTTTTGAAATACACTTTCCCCAAAATAATCAGCTCTAGTCTGCTGAGGTACAGTAACTTATGTAGCTCTTGGAGATGTGTGCGTATATTCAAGCTCATGATTTGGTTCTTGGGTGCAGCCAGGGTTCCTTGGTTTTCTACCCCTGTCCCATTAACAGGAGCTGGTTTGCATAGGCTGCTTTAATCAGTCTCTTTATTAGTGTTTTTTTTTTTCTTTCACGCTTTTAAAAAATTCTGTCATTACCATATCTGAGTCAAGCAAACATTTACAGTGCTGCAGTTCTGGTTGCTAATTTCAACGTACAATTTTCTCAGAATTATCCAAAGTATAACCACCAGTTTTGGGAACACCCTAGGAGTGCCAAAGATTATGATTAGCTACTTAAAAATTAGGGAAATGCTTGAAAGATTCCTGCCTGCAACTATAAACTTTGCATCCACAATGCCTGTGTTTTCCCAAAGGAGGATCCAGTACCAAATCACACCTGGGTGGAGCAGAGAGTTTGCTTTCAACTGCAGCATAGACTTAACATTTAAATTTGAATCTTGACATAATTTAGCTTTTACATGCGAATTTATAGCTCAGTCTGTAGCTAGGTGGAGCAGAGAGTTTGCTTTCAACTGCAGCGTAGACTTAACATTTAAATTTGAATTTTGACATAATTTACCTTTTACATGCGAATTTATAGCTCAGCCTGTAGCTGTAGCTCACATTTTGTACACAATTTCTGAGTTAGTCCTGTCCCAGGAGAAGAGATCCTGATTGATAACGAGCCACTTTTATTGCATCCAGCCTGAGCGTTTTATCCTCCTAAAACTGTGTGTGAAGATGAAAGGGGCGTACACGTCGTGTGTGCCCTGGGCTCCCTCACACGGAGACGGGTGGCCGCCCCTCGGCTCGCCCCGCGTGCCGCTCCGACCGCCTCAGCGCATCGCTGGGTACCAGGTCTCTGTCAGGGATGGACACCCTGCCCGTGCCACGGGCTGGATTTCACCCAGCCTTGCAATCCCATTCCCTTGGCACTCAGTCCTGATGGGATTTCTCCCAACACCTTGGTGTTGCCAGGCTGCACCCACTCCCCGGAGAAGTTCTGGTTTTCCTTTTTCCCAAGTTAAGATGCCCCTCTCCTCCTGCACTTCCCTCCCTTCTTGTGGCCTGACCCAGCCAGCTGGCAGGTCCTAGCAAGAACGGAGCCCGAGTTGTGCGTCTGCTTTGCTCCTCCTGCTCAGTGCTCTCCAGAGCCCCGTGGGACTGGGAGCACTGGGGAACTTCACACCACTGGCATCTAAAGGAGAAAGTTTGTTCTAAAGCACCACCAAATTTAGATATTCCGTTATCATCTTGTTCTGCCTCAGGGTGATGGGACAAGTGTTTGCCAGGGCTTGCCCTCGTTGGCAAAGAGCTTGTTTTCCCGTTCCCAGTGCATGGAACTGGGTTTGTTTTTTCATTTTAAGCTGTAACAATTCAGTAAAGCAACACCTGCCTCAGTAAGTCATGTGGAATTCATGTTAAAACTGTGGTGAATTGCAGTTCTGGGAAGAAATTACATGTTCAATCACATTCACTTGACTAGGTCATGTGAAAAATAAAAGGAGGAAACTCGTGCTTCCATTTGTGGGATGACAGAACTCCTTGCAGTGATGTATTCCTTACTTCCCAAAACCTGAACGTAGCAATCCTACAAGAACAGTGTTGTGAAATATGGTGGGCTAACACAAGTAACTTCTCTTTCAGGAGCAGACAAAAAACGCGCAGTTTATCATCATCTCCCTGCGGAACAACATGTTTGAGATCGCAGACAGATTAATTGGGATTTACAAGACTCACAACACCACCAAAAGCGTGGCAACCAACCCCAAAATTATTGCATCCAAAGGGCTGGCTGAACTCGACGCTCTGCGGTGCAGTACGGCTCAAAAATAGAGCAGAATAAACTTCTGTTCTTGTTGCTGCTGTTTTATCTAATATACTTCTGTATTTGAGATTTTTTTCTTTCACTTTTATCTGAACTTGTTAATAAAACCAGCCTCAATAAATTGCATTTTTGTAATTACACAGTCTATGTAGAGCTGTGTTGTTTTTTTTTTAAACTCAGTTCTGTCATTATTTCTCAAATGACGTACCTAGCTGCATTTCAATAGTCTGTGGGTCAGCTTTATGTCAATGCTTAGGCTCCATGTTTGGTTTTAAATGCCTCTTTTTTTACTGGATGTATTAAAGGAAGAAAATTGCTTTTAAATGTCATCTGAGCGTCCTGTAACGCTCTATGACATGAGTTCCAGGAAGTAAAGTCAGCATCCAAATGCTTTACATGGATAGCAGAAGGATGCCGTAGGCCGTGCTGTGTGGTCTGGGCATCAGTTGCTTGTGGCCATTTTGTAATGAATTGGGTGGGTGTAGGGAGCTGCTCTTCCCTTATTTTCCTCTCCTCTCCTGCAGGGCCAGCTCCTCCCTCCCTCAGCCCCTGCCCACGGTGTACACCAGGTTTACTAACATGGTAATTACCACCTGCTCACTCCTACCATCATGTCCCAAAGGGCTGCGTTGTTCCCAGAGAACAGGCACGGTGACATCCATCCGTACCCTGCCCGTTGCTTACCTGGCTGTGACAGTTCTGTTTCCATCAGCATCTTGTCCCCGCTTCACTGTACAGGTTTTGCTTTGAATCCCATCTTTTCTGTGCTTTAGGAACTGAAATGGTGTGTTTTACTCCAGAAGTCAGGCCAGGATCTGGCCCACTTGCACTAGTACTGCCCCTCTGCTCTCGTGGCACCCCCCTGCAGTGCTGCGTTCAGCTCTGGGGTCCCCAACACAAGAAGGACATGGAGCTGCTGGAGCGGGTCCAGAGGAGGCCACAGAGATGATCCCAGGGCTGGAGCACCTCTGCTATGGGGACAGGCTGAGAGAGTTGGGGCTGTTCAGCCTGGAGAAGAGAAGGCTCCAGAAGACCTTCCAGCACCTTCCAGTGCCTAAAGGGGCTACAAGAAAGCTGGAGAGGGGCTTTTTACAAGGGCGTGTAGTGATAGGACATGGGGCAATGGCTTTAAACTGAAAGAGGAGAGATTTAGATTAGATCTAAGGAAGAAATTTTTCCCTCTGAGTGTGGTGAGACACTGGAACAGGCTGCCCAGAGAAGCTGTGGCGGCCCCATCCCTGGAAGGGTTCCAGGCCAGGTTGGATGAGGCTTTGGGCAACCTGGTGTAGTGGAGGGTGTCCCTGCCTGTGGTGGGGGGGGGTGGAACTGGATGATCTTTATGGTCCATTCCAGCCCAAACCATTCTGTGAAGCCGCAGCAGATGGGAGGGAAGCACAGTAACTGCTCAGCTTGCACTGACTGGGCCTTGGAATTTTTGCAGAAGTGCAAGAGGAGCTGCAGGGCAGGATAATCCCTGGGTAACTCGTTGGTGAGGGTGAGCAGGGAACAAAGTGGTGTTTTCACCTGAAGGAGACAATCCTGAGAGTAGTCACGCTGATCACGCTGTCAGAGGCCACCTCAGCATCTCAGCACCCTGCACTGCTCTTGGTGGACTGCCTGGGCAACTGGAAACTCGTCTCTTCCCTCACTGCATCTCTACACACTCCTTCAGACATCTCTAAAAAATAAAATATTTTTTTAAAATCTGAAACAATGCCTGCAGTAAGACTTACACTTCTAGAACAAAGTTTCAAAAGAGGACAGTTCAAAAGATGATAAAAAGCCCACCCTTGGTTTGACAGGGTACCAGACCTGCTCACACCTCAATTCAAATGCAGGAAAAATTTTATTTCTTGGAAAAAAGTTTCCATCTCTGTTACGTGAAGCTCGGCACAGAGGACTCGTGTCCAGCACAGCGGTGCCCTCGCCCTGCTGTTCGCCAACTCACTGCCAGAAAAATCAGTGAAACAGGTCTGTGGTGGGCAGTGTGAAACACCACAAAATCCGCACGGACCCACCTCGGGACACACCGTTCCAGAGAATCTCCCTAAAGTTGCTGCTGGCAAAA